CACGTAGATATTAAAATGTTTTGATTGGGGCCTTGGGTTCTTGGGCTTCCTTGACTAACAGCCATTAAAACACCCACTACTCAGTAATTAAAATTCTGCATTAACATGGTGAAGAAATAATCAAATTAGATAAAGTGTCAAAGTGGTGGGAAATGTAACATTTGTGTGGGACGTCAGGGGTTCGAGTCACTCCCCACGCAGATATTAAAATGTCTTGATTGGGGCCTTGGGCTCTTGGGCTTCCTTGCCTAAAATAAATATTTTTTTTTATTATTTAATGGGTAAAATTAGCCAGTATTTTCTGACTGTTTGTTTTTGTAACAACCCACTAACAGCCATTAAAACACCCACTACTCAGTAATTAAAATTCTGCATTAACATGGTGAAGACTGTTACTACTATCTTGCCTATATAAACCCATATCTCGTTTTGGGAAATATAGACACAAAAAGAAAATAGAAAAACCATCTTGCATCAATCCTCCTTCTCATATTCTGAATTTCTTATATTCGGATTTTTACATATATTATGGAGTACAATTGAGAGTTCTAGAAAAACCATTAGTGATTGCTGCACAAGTGGTTTACGATCGTTGTATCCTGGGAGTGATTGTCCATGGAGGTCGCAGCAATTATCGACGGGCAGTTTCACTTTAGGACATCGTGCTGTCACGAGATTCGATCGGACGATAAGTTTTATATTTCTACATTATATTGTTCAGATCACTACTGCATCTAATTAATTTTTTCCAACACCTGCCTCCTAACCGAAACCACAGCTCATCCTTGTTAACTGATTTGAACAGTCAAAGTAAGAGACCATTGATAGTTTAACTGTGTGAAATAGTTTCGATAAGCATGACCTTTGTGATTGTCATCCAGAGCTTTTAACACCTTTTCATATTTTCGATATGAAAGTTCGAGGCCACCATTCTAGAGAATTCATTTGATCTAGTGTCAAGAACGTGCTTCAATAGCGATGGTAAAAAAAATCATTAAACTCGATACTCATGGCCCCGCCCCTAAATGGGGTAGAGATTAGCTACTTAACCCAGTGCAAACAATTTTTTTTTTTTTAAATGACTCACGATACAAGTCACAGTTAATAGGCCAAGTCCCAACACCCAATATAACCCAAAGTAGAATGCTTATTCCTGAACCATTACCAGATTTTAGAATTAGAGACGTGAGACGATGATGGTTTGAGCATTTTTTCAATTTCATCATTCACTAAGAAGCGCCGCTGGCATTTATTCAATTCTTCTCTTCTCGACTTTCCCTACCGATGACTTACACGGCTGAAGGTCGGTTCTGTTTTGTGTTTCAATTGAAGTGATTTTGATGCTTCAATTGCAGTTTTACTTGAATGGAGTTTGCAAATGACTGGTTAAAATATAGTTCAACAATTGACTGGTTTTAATTGTGATTTTACAAGAAATGAATTGGGTTTGAATCTTTATTGATTTGTTCTATTTTCTGTTGATCTTGTAGTGAGATTTTGGTTCCTTCAGTTATCAGACTGGATAATAAAACTATTTATCGCAAGCGGATTGTATTCATTTCAAATGTATAGACTACGGCATTGTACACGTACCGAGCATTGAAAGTACTCCTCTACAATCAAGTGGTAGTCCATCCCATGAAGACTTAACTAGTTAGGTAAACGTACAACAAGATCCAATAGGCTTGTGTGATGAGAGGGAGGATAACAGACATGGTAAGAAAAGGAAATTGACTTCAATGGTGTGGAACGGCTTCAAAAAAAAGTCATCAAGGGGAATACAAGCAATTTGTAACTATTATCAAATAAAATTAGGGGCTAAAAGCAAGAATGGGACAAAACATTTGCATGAACATATGAAAAGATGTCCTTGTTGAAATATCGATTGTAAGTTATCTACATTAACTATCGATAATTGTACTACAAATGATGCCACACTCAACATTCTTTTAGATAAGCTTGCAGGTAGTTCACTTTTATTAAATGTTGAATTTTTCCATATGCATTGTTGTGCGCACACATTAAACTTGATAATTAAAGATGGTTTGGAGATCATTTGCTTGAGTGTTGAGAAAATCCACGACAGTGTTGCATATTGGAAAGCAATTCGAAGAAGAGTAAAAAGTTTGAGAGCTTTGCATGCTAGTTGAAAATCTCTTGTTCCTTTGCATGCTAGTTGAAAATCTCTTGTTCCAAAAAGTTAGCACTTGATTGCCAAACTAGGTGAAAATCTATGTACTTAATGCTTCATAATGCTTTATAGTATAGGGATTTTTTTCTCAACTAAAGCAACTTAAGTAACAATATAGATGTTTGCCTAGTTATGTAGATTGGAATTTGGCGAAAGAGATATGTGACAAGTTGGATGTGTTTTCTAATGACTGAACTATTTTTTGGGACTAAAACGCCAACATCCAATCTTTATCTTTTTAATATTTGTGAGATAAAGTTGTCAATTTACAATGGGATAAAAACTCCTTATGATGAAATCAAAATCATGGCTTTAAGTATGATTGACAAATTTGAAAATATTGGAGCGAGATTCATGGAATTTTAGCCGTAGCTAGTGTGTTGGATCCGAGATTTAAAATGAAATAATATTATTTTCCAATGATTTATGGAAATGAAGTTTAAGATCGTGAGATTGAAAATGTTAGAAAATTTTGTCACAAGCTGCTAAATCAATACAAAACAAGACATGGATCAAGTGGAAATGTGACTTGATCTTCGAACCAAACTGAGATATCTACTAATGCAAGTAAAAAAGATCGATTGGCACCATTTGATTTATTTGTTTCTAATACCACTAGTACTCATAGACTAAAATCAGAGCTCAACATTTTCTTGTATGAGCTTACATTACCTAGATCAAATGATTTTGATATATTGGCATAGTGGAATGCAAATTCAATAAAATATCCTTGTTTACAAAATGTTGCAAGAGATATATTGGCCATCCCAATATTTATAGTGGCGTTAGCGTCAGAATTCAATACTAGCAGTAGACTTATTAGTCCACACAGAAAAAGTGCTTCATCAGAAAACTTTGAAGGCTTTGATATGTGCTCTAGAGTGGTTACGGGCTGACATTCATGATACGAAAAATACAATTTTCTATACTTTTCATAATTATTATTTTTTTATTGATAACTAGTTTTATTTTTTTTGGTAGAACATTCATCACCTACATCATAATTTGGATGTTGTACGAAAGTAAGTGACACGGATATTTAAGAGGAGATAAATTTATTTTTCTTTAAATGAATTTGAATAATAAATAGTTAAACATATCATTGGTCTAATTAATAAATACTTTTACAGTCATCAATTTTTAAAGAGCCTCATATAGATATTCTAGAAGAAGACTTGACCATCTACAACATGAAGTGTTGCATTTTGTGAATTTTTGAGGTGTGTCTCGTAGTTTAGCCATTTGTAAACTGGCTATAAAGATTTCTCAAGCTCTTTGTTTACTTTTAAGTATTTCTTCATTTAAAAAAGGCTTCGTTTTATCAGAATTAGTGCCTAATCTCTGAATGTTACTTTTTGAGTTTCATAGCCTTGTGGGTGTACTGCTTAAAAATATTATTAACATAGGCAAGGACTACATAACATAAGTTACAAAGATTTTATAGATAAGTTGAAGTTTTTTGGTGTGCTGTAACAAGCAACCAAAAATAAAATTTATACTCCTAAAAATATATGTAGCAGTGCAGGTAAGACTCGTTCTCATGAAAAATATCTAACTTAGTTTTATGCTACGTAAACAAGGACTAGGGTGGTTTTGAGTATGACAAATTTTTTTTCTAAAGAAAGCAAATACGAACAATTTAAATTAAAGTATCAAAATTAATCAAAAGAACTAACCCCGATCTAAGTTAACATCCACCATTGAAATTTTACAACTGATCATTGATCCACACACACACACGCACACACACTACAGTTCTATTGATTCTGAGGCTTCAGTTTCCTTCAATTAAATACAAAAGTTTAGCCACACATGAAAATTGAAGTGAGTAAAAGAGAGAAGATGAGAATAGAGGCATGTCTCCCTCTTTTAGGATAGTCCTGGGCTTTTTAAAAGACATTCTCCAATTTGTTTCTATAAGGACAATATTGGAATGTGATGTGGATGAGAATAGTATTTTTTAGAATTTTAGAATTTTAATAGGGATGAATATAGAGGGATAAATATATAACTTCTGTGGATATAAATAGCCGCTCCCTTGAAAATTTATGTATACGAAATTAGGATAAGTGAAAAAAATTAATAGAGAATATCTGGAGCTCAATTCAGCCATTTAGGAAAAGTGAAAAAAAAATTACTTGAAAATGAGACAATATTGCGACGTTTTTAAAATATGGGACCTCATAGAATTCAATTGTCTTAGTTTATAGTTATAGAATAAGGTTGTATCATGTATGTGTTTTAGTATTTTGAATTATATTGAATTATATTTTTATACGAATAGAATTTTTAAATTTTAGCGCATTTACATATATATATAGACAGATTTTAATATTATTTAATTAAATATTAATAAATAATTTTGTTATTACAATCGCTTATTGTTTGGTAAATGGTCAACTATCATTGTCGGTCAATGTCCGCCCTAACTGACTTCCGACCCTAGATTCGCCCCTAACTAGCGATACTAAATAACATTACTCTTTTAGTATGTATAAGGATGACACAAATCAAGTCCTAATCCTTGTGCACAAAAGGAAAAGAAAGGTGCATTGAATATGCAATTAACGAATTACAGCAATGTTGGTGAAGACATGAGCATATGAACATCACTGAGTCTAGCAGCATGCAGATTTGTCAGCTATTTAATAGAAACTAACAAGATTATCGATAAATTTCTAGTCATTATCATAAGTTATAGCAATAGTAATTAGCATGCAAAAATATGTTATATCTCATGCTTCTACCCTTCCAGTAGTTAGATTTAGTGAAAAGATGAGCAGTTTGCCTTCATTTCAATTGTATCTGATGAAGTAATGCATATATGCATGTAATTACATTTTGCAGAAAGTAAGTACAGAAATCTAGGAAATATTTCTTTTCATTACTTGTTTTTTTCATATACATTCTAAATTGGAAGCCAGTTTACACGGTGGTACTTAAATAGAAGAAGAGACTAAATTTAAAAATTCTGGAAGATTTGTACTGTTTCTTCAAGATTTCTGGCATTTCCCGTTAGAAGGGATACAGTAACTATACCAACTCTACTCGAGCCTTTAGAGCTTTGACTTCAAGCATAACATCCTCAGCAATTTCCACTCTACAAGCTATCCAAACTCAACATCACTTATCCGGTGATGTCTAAAAGGAGATAGGGGACATTGTCACACAAAAGCTTGAGTGTAAATTCCACATCGGACAAGGAAAGAGAGAAAGCAAGAACAAGTTAAATAAATAAACGTGTCTGCATTTTAATGACTTTGTTGGGTTTTAATACCTATTGAATCCCGGAATATGATGTAAATTGAATTCGAAAATCACTGATTTGACGATCTTGGGATTGAGCTTCCGGGACAATTGGTATCAAAGATTTATGGTGGATTTGGCTAGATAAACTGACCAAAAACCATCCAAAATACCACCTTAAATGAAGCAGAAAATAGATCGCAAAACTATCCAGAAAATTGCCCAAAAATTGAGGCTATTTTCCTGGCTTTCGACCAATCCAAAGGGAGTTTGGTGAATAGAGACCACCGGTGTGAAATACATGTGGAGGCGCTCTTGGGTGGCTGGCGCATGAGACCTTTGGCAACGTTTGGCGATAGCACGCAGAACTTAGGCAGTCGCATGAGGGTGTGAAGGCCACTTTCAGGCTACAGTATCTTCAAACAGTTTGTTCCTAACATCATTTTTGACGTTTTGGTGTTTTTAGTTTTTTGTTTCAGGATACAATGAAATCTAGACAGATTTGTTCTTCACGTGTTTGGGATTCGATCGTGATTGATTGATTTCTACGATTAATGGAAACTTCACGACAAATAGTGGTGGCCTTAAAATAATAAAATAACATCTCTTGTAATTTACGGACTCAGATTTGTTCGCTTTGGTATATTGACTTATCCCAATTTCAATCTAAGGATTAGCATATCATCATATAGGGTGACTTTAGGATTAGGTTCACCATATGGAGTAATCATTGCTTGCGCTAGAAATTTAGGAATTATATGCTCTGTTTGAAGTGTTGAATTTGATTGTAAGTTGGTAATTGCATTTGTGCTTTAGTTGTCGTTTAATCACTATGTGAGACTGCATTGCGTGAAAAACTAAATTTTTTGTTGATATACCTTCGTGTTACATTGATTATTCTCTTGTAATAACTAATTGGAGTTGACCCGTTTGAACATTCTCCTGAGATTTTGAGTCTAACGAAACTTTGGGAATCTAGAACGATGTATACTACGGTCTTAAATTTAATTTGTGTGACCTATTTGTGCACTTGCTCTTTTTTAAAACTGTCTTGCATTTCTAAATTGACATATTCAATGGGAAGGGAAAATTTTCAATTTGGCAATAAAATAAGGAGATTTGATTCAACAAAAAATTTCAAAAGCAATAGATGACATATTTCTTACATTATAAAAAAAAAAAAAAAAAAAAAAAAAAAAATGTGATGATGCTTATACTTCAATTATTTTATACCTATCTGACACTATTTTGAAAAAAGTTGGAAAATTTGATTCCGCTGAAGAATATTGGAAAAAGTTAGAGGACTTATATTTACTTAAATTTTCTCCTAATAAGTTGTATTTATTTGAAAGATTTTTCAATTTTAAAATGAATTATTTTTCCTTCTTGCCTTTGTGGCTAGAAATGATCATCATTATCTTGTCCTTTGTTGTGAGATTGAGAGCAACCGAGGTGAAAATATTGGTTGTAGGTTGGAGCCGTTTGGATGGGTTGTTTCATAGAGAAATGTAACGTGAAATTGAGCCCAAAATCACTTATTTAATGATCCTTGGAGCAAGCTTCCCGAGAAGCTTGACCTTTTGCATGATGGGATTTAGAATAGTATTATAGCAGAAGTTTTGCCATCATCCATTTAAAATATATGGAAGTGTCAAAAATCCGACATGCATGTGTGGAGGTGCATTTATCACTAATTTTAAAAACCTATGAGTCACTGAAAGATGGCACGAGGTCTTTGATGTATCAATAGTGGGAGCAATAAAAAGACTTTGCTCCCCTTTAAATTATGAAGAAAGAAGAAAGGATCAAATTGTAGACCGCTTGTAGTAGTTCTACCGGTAGAAAGCATCATGAATGAGGACACTAGAATAGGACTTGTGACTTCTATTTAACATCATAAGCTTTTAGATAAGATAATTCAATATGAAATACCTTTTGGTCTCCAACATGATCGAATTGCATTTTATTCATCTCTTCATGATGTCATCCTTCTTCACAGTGAAATCCCAAAGGTCACCATACTTCTCATTGAAATCCCATATGTCCATGGTGTTGTAATCGGCTATCAACTTGTCACGAGCCCCTCTCTCCATATTGTAAATCTGAGGTTCGAAGTTGTGAGGTTCACTTGGCTTATCCATCTCAATTATGCAAAATATGACAGTAAAAATGGCTGCACCAATGTACAAGTATTCCCCCTGAAGCGCAGAAATGAAACAAGCTAGTTAACTTTTAGCAACACTGAAATTGTGTTAGAAACTTAAAACAGCGTGAGAGAGTGATATCGAAATGGATTGTATAAGTTGATATCTGTTATGTCTACACATTACAGGGAAGAAGATTCCATTTATAGGGTTAATATTAACTATAAAATGAATGAATTCTACACTAGTTAAGCAATCAAAACTATTAGAAAAATAAGCTAATAAAGTCTGGAGGGTGTAACAATCTTTAAAATTACATAAATATTTCCTCATCATTAACAGTTTGAGGTTCAATTCTTGTGTACCGGAACATTGAAGTACATTCCAGCAGCAACAGCTGGAAGGAATAGCCAGGAGATAAAACCTGAGATAAACAGCATATAATCAAACCACATGATCTCGTTGACAAAAAATGCAGGCTTGATAATTTAACTGAAGTTACGATGATTTTGATACCCTGGAATCCTGTAGGAGGTCCAATCGCAGCATAATCTTCTGCAATTGATCCCCAAAATGATCCTGGAACAAGCAGAATTGCTATATTAATATTTGATGTTGGAAATTAAAGAGCATGAAGTGGATATAAATTTTGCAAGGATTAGTATATTGTCTTGATCTTGACATCTAAATTAATAGAAATTTTGAACAAAAAATGTCACAATTACATGATATTTAGATAACCAAATTTCTCATTCGTTTCCAAGAATCATTCATGTATAATTCTTGATAAGAAATTTCCCCCTTCTGATTCAGGATAAATGTTTCAACATAAAGACAAATATTAAAGTTTCCAATATTAAACACTGCATATGGGAGTCAGTGGCATTAATCAGCATCTACATTTACTGAGATTGTTTAGCTTTTACATAGAGAAGCCTCTTTAGATCACAATACAATTAAGAAAGTCCATCCAGAAACATAAAGATCGATCCCTCTGACAGGTCATTTTTCACTTTTCTGAATAGCCAATCTATAAATGTAGAATCGTGAGTTTTAACTCCTCGAGATGTCAGACCAGGTATCCGGATGTTTTTCTAGTAAGAATATGACCTTTCAGCGCTCCTGACCCCGAAATGGGGATTATTGATAACACATCCGAATCACCTAAGTCTCCTCAATCTACATCATTTCCCCCTTGCTGGCTTGTATTCTCATTGTGTCCTAATATTCATTCAGGTTTCACAGATCATCTAGATATAAATTCTCAAGAAACAATTATGGCTTATCGAGCAAGGTTTCTACTGAACCGTAGTCAATTAACGTTGGATGGCGTATTATATTAAACATGTTAGTATTGTATTTGAAAAGTTAGTATTGTATTTGAAAACAAAATTGCGGATGAACAATACCTTTTTCATCACCTTCGTAGTATGTATGGTGGTCATCATACTTCCCATACTTAAAATCTTCCTGCAAACTTCAACAACAAAATCCTGAACCACCCATAAATGTTTAAATAATACAAATTCAAGAAAAAATCAACCCATGAATTCGTAAAAAATCACAAAAAAGAAAACATACAGAATCAATCCCATTGGTCCTCCACCTGTCCACTGGATCTTCATTCAAGTCCGGCTCTATTTCTGAAAGCCCAGCATACAATCTTGTTGACCTAATTTTGCAGTAGTTTACACCAATTCTCAAAGCAGATGAATGTGGGATTTTCTTGACAAAATCCCTTTTCTGGGTTTCAAACGATTCGGGATTTCTAGATAGAATCTTGGGGATTGACGTAGTAGAAAGTGTTGGGAGTGTCGCCATTTCAGTTATCCTGCCTTTGAATTAAGGGACTGAAGTAGCATTAATGTGCGTATGAAGGTCCTCTTCTGAATTATTATTCATGCATGCCGTCTCTGTTGTGTTGCGTATTGGAGGACATGTCAATGGGTGATGGAGAGCCTCTTTTGCATCTTATCCGATTTTTTGGATGCACTCTTGAATCTGGATATCATTTTTCTACCTTCCGTATTTTCCTTTTTTCCTTGCTGCAAATTAATTTTGTAGACAATTTTTTTTTCTTTTTAATTTAACGTAGTGTAGTTTTTATTTTAAAAAAATCGTTGAAGTTAATATTTTCTATCCTAGAAAAATACTGCTGCAGGTAGTCTAACAACTCATTTATCGTATTTGAAGACTGGAAGCCACTCAAAAGTAATTTGGCAAAACTTTAGTTATGGGGTTTTAACCCATGTTTGGCAAATGTTTATAATCGATCAATTCACTTTTTATCAATGTTCTGAAAATCCACCCGGTCATTGACTCGAAAAAGGTGAAGGATCAAAAAGTTCAATCAGGATCGAATCGACTGCAATAAATACATACAAAAATAATAAAATACAAAAAAAAACAATAAATTTTTTAAAAAAAAATTCATATTAATAATTTGTTAATGAGATTCATTATTCTATAATTTGTGTTAATTTTTGTTATGCCACTATTCCACATTGAAAGTTTATGAAACCGTTGAAGAGAAGATCATCTATAAAATGCACTATCCTACATTAAAAATTTATAAAACCATCTGAGAGTCTACAAAAAGAGCATGTCATTCAATATTTCTCTATGGGCCTTTGAATTGTTATTTATGAGGCTCATTCGTTAAGTTGAAATTTTTTAAACTAAAAGAAAAAAAAAGATGGGAAAACCACAAAATCGCGATCGGTTCACTGGTTTACGGTTAAAACGGCCGGTTCAACGAGTTTTTAAGCGATTTTGTCACAACCGATTAACCGGACATGAGTGGTCCGATTCCCAGTTTTACCGGTTGAACCAGTCGGGCCGGACCGATTTTGATAACATTGCTTTTTTATTCACACATTTCGTGAAATTTACAAATACATCACTCATTTAATGAACCAATGATCAATTGATCCGCAAGTGTAAGAGTTAGACATATAATAAAGTGCAATTTTCAGTCTGTATAATGTCCAATATCAACGAAGTACTTACTATCAATTTTTATCATAATCTAGTTTCAATTTAAATTACTTTGGTAAAAACTTAAACAAATTTAGGAAGTATGATTTTAACTAAATTAATTTAAAGGCTTGTTTGTTACCCATTATGCAATTCCATTTTATTAAAAATCAGCCTGTTACAGGTCCACTCACCTGACACCGCTCAGAACCTTTTTACTGTGCACATATTCCTTCATACACCATTTTCACATATCTACCCTTGAAGCATTCACTTTGCATTCATTTCACCTACCGACCCACAATTACAATTGGTGATCCCAGTTGTAGAAATTAAGAATGATTTATATTTTCTCTATGTTGAACTTACAACCTTGCAATCTCATTCATAAAGACTGAGACCAACTACAATCTTATAAATACGGAACTTTCAAATTCAAAATATGCTACCGATCGAAAAATAAGGAACTAATACGTCCACCTTATTTGTCTCCAAGATATCATTATTTGAAGTATCTAAAAAATTGTTAAATCTAACATAATTAACAACTTGATCTTCCACATGCTCCCTCAATCTGAAGGGGAGACTTCAGACATTCAGATTGTTTGTGAAGTTGGAAAATGCAATAAATACAATGGTTTAGTTAAGGAATCAACTAGCTGATCTTTACTCAAGATAAAGGGAAAATTGCAGTCAAGGTACCGAACCTTTCGTTTATTAGCAGACTTTGCTCAAACATTTAGTAGTGCAAATCAATTTCTATATGAATAGTAGTTTCTTTTATTTTTATTTGGTATATTAGTTTATTTGTTTTATTATAGAATTAAATAGCAAATTTACCTTCTACACTTTTAAGTTGGTCAAAAAATGGTCAAAATTCAAATTTATTGGTCAACTAACGGTCAAACGGACGGTTTCCATCCATTTGAGCCTCGGGTGCATATTTTTGAAAGGTTTGGGACTGTGGGTGGCACAAACTAAAGGTTTGGACAAAGTCTGCTAATAAACGAAAGATTTGGTACCTCAACTGCAATTTTTCCCAAGATAAATTGCACAATTAGCTTCTTATTCAAGACGTGGTCACACACATAGTGCAAATCAATTTCCATATGCTTTATCCTTGCATGAAAGGCTAGATTAGAAGTTAAATAATTAGCACCCATATTGTCACACCATGGAATAGGCTTTTGTAGAATGGAAAAACTAATTTCCAATAATAGAGACTGAATCTATTGTATTTCGGCAACAACATTAGCTGAAGATTTGTATCCAGCCTCTGTGCTACTCCATGCTACAATTGGTTGTTGTTTGTAGCTCCAAGACATAAGATTCTCACTGAGAAAGATATTATACACGCCAACTGACCTTCTATCATCCTTATCACATGCCCAATCTGAATTAGAATATGCTTGGATGGTGCATGACTGTTTGTTGGAAAGAAAGAAGCTCGTGGAAATTGAATGCTTCAGATTGTGTGAGAAAGAGAGTCTTGGGGTAACTGTAGAAGAATCAATTAAAGACAGAAAATATTTGTTTCCTCTTGGGGTAACTGTAGAAGAAGGCTCCCATAAATCAGCATGTACATACTCCAGAATTGAAGTAGTCTTATGCCTTCCAGTATTAAAATGAAGTCTATATTGTTTACCAAGTGCGCAGTGTTCACAAAATGAAATTTTTGAAATATTATCTTTTTCAAAGACACCCTTTTTATTCAGAATATGCAGCCCTCTTTCACTTACATGAGCTAACCTGTTGTGCCATTTTAAAGTGGCATCAACTTTAGCAGTTGAGGATTCAGCAATGTGACTTGAAATAACTTCAGCTCTAGTGACATATATTCCATTTCTTTTGGCACCCTTGAAAATTACAAGTGAGCCTTTAATTATTTTTAACAATCCATTACCTAGTTTGGCTTGCAGGCCAATGTCATATAGATTTCCCATTGAAATTAAATTTCTGTTTAAATCAGGGACATATCTTACTCTTTCTAGAGTAAAGATATATCCATTTTCAAATTTCAAAGTCACACTACCAATTCCTAAAACTCTACATGCTGCATTATTACCCATTACCACCTCACCATGATTTATTTCTTTAAAATTTTCTAACCATGACCTTTGAGAGGTCATATGAAAGGTACAGCCAGAGTCAAGTATCCACTCTTGACTCTGGTCATTATTACCAAAAAATTAACAGTATTAAGGTCAGTTATGGGTTCTGTAACAACATAGACATCCACAAATTTATCTCCTTGGGGCTCAACTACATTACCCTCATCCACTCTCTTTTCTCTTTGTTCATTCTTTTTCTTGTAACAATCTTTAATAAAATGATCAGTTTTTCCACATCCATAACACTTTCTATTTCCAGTCCTAGACTTGGACCTAGATCTTCCTTTCCATTTCTTCTTGTTATTGTTATTTCCTTGATATCTCTGATTTTCATGACTAATACCTTGCCTAGTAAGTGATCTACCTCTAACAAATAAACTTTCAGATTTCCTTCCCCGCCTTTCAGATTTAAGTTCTAATTCTTTACTTCTTAAAGAATTAATAACAACTTCAGGGGTTAACTCATCCCTACCATACTTAATAGCACTTTTAACGTCTTTATAGTCTTTAAGTAATGAGTTTAGAAGAATAACAGCTTTGTATTCTTCAGAAACTTTATCACCCGCATTAGTTATATCTTGAACAAGTTTATTAAAAATGTCAAGATTGTCTTCTAAATCTTTGGAAGGGTCTATTTTAAAATTGAAAAAACTTTCCAAAAGAAATATTTTATTTGGTAAAGACTTCGTTAAATACAGTTCTTCAAGTTTATCCCATAAAGCTTTAGCCTTATCAAGTTTTTCAACCTTTCTTAACACTTGGTCAGATAAATGCAATATGATAGAGGTATAGGCAAGTTCATCAGATTCTGTTTTTTGTTCTTCAGTCATAGTCTCAGGAAAATCAGCAGTTATAGCTTTTACAACTTTCTGTTGAACAAGGATCCCTCTCATTTTTTGTTGCCAAATGGGAAAGTCTCCTTTTTCATTAAAAATCCCAAGTTCAAACTTAGAAGTTGACATTTGGAGTTCTTAATCAATCAAAAGAAAAAATTATTTGAGGTTTAGTGTTCAACAGAATAGATAGATACAGAGTAAAATTTAAAAGGTAACAAGAATCAAATCAAATTATTCAGTATCTAAAAGACTTGAGAATCAAAGGAAAAATAACAACACATAGGGAATTCACAATATCCAGGAATGATAGAATGAATGATGTAATACACTTCAGACCCCAAATGCCCAAATTCACCAGGATTCCGTGAAGATCAAGTCCTCAGGTCAAGGCTCAATTTGGGACATCAAAATCCAAAGCAAGGATATTATGAATGTATCACAAAGAAACAATAAACGAATGCAGTTCACCAAATTTTAACTACAAACGTATATCACAGTTCACAAGAAGATCTATTTCAACTATATAACAATTTACTTCAGAATCAGCATGCATATAACATATATTTTGGCATTGCAGATTGAGTAAAATGTTAAGTAGAGGATGCAAACCACAGTAGTAGTCAAGTTAAGACTACTAATCGATCAAGAAAGCCACAATAACGCTACTGGTCACTCAAGAATCATACACGAACCAAGAGTTCGCCTGAAGATATGCCTGCAGGGGGTCTAATGAGTCACACACGGTAACAATCGTCAGTCCAATATACACTTAGAAGTATTAATCAAGAATATATGAGACCATTTAACAAAAAACAGATCTAGGGTTTTCAAAAAAAATCGAAACCCTAGGTAACCCCTCAAGATCTGACTGTAAGAATTGATTTCTTACAACCAAATCTTCTTCGAACGGAGATTAAACACCACACTAAGCTCTGATACCACTATTACACCAGAATCAGAAAATACACAAAGTATAGTTAAGCAATTGTTTCTATCAAAACATCACAGACTCCATTCTACTGCTAAGACTCAAGGCA